AAAAAAAAAAAAAAAAAAGAAAGAAAGAAAGAAAGAAAAAGAAAGAAATCATACAGTGATACAGAACACTAGAAACTCTTACTCCTACCTACCTATAATTTTATATTCTTTAATAAATCTCTGCCTATACTCCCTCCTACCCTTTCCAGCCTCTAGTATCCTCTGTTTTACTTTTTACTTCTGTAAGATCAACATTTTTTGATATAAGTGAATGAAAATATGTGATATTTAACTTTCTTTTCCCAGCTTATTTTACTTAACATAATGTCATCAGTTCTATCCATGTTGCCTCAAATGACAAGATTTCATCATTTTTTTTATGACTGAATAGTATTCCATTGTGTATATATATTGCATTTTCTTTATCTGTTCAACTGTTGTTGGACACCTGAGCTAATTCTATGTGTTGGCTATTGTGAATAGTGTTTCAGTAAACACAGGAGTACAGATGTTTATAGGTATACACACACACACACACACACACACAATTTGGATTTTCTATTTTCCATGATTCAATCTTGATGTGTTGTATGATAATCATTTCTTATAATCCTTTTCATTTCTGTGGCATTAGTTGTAGAGTCTCTTCTTTTGTTTCTGATTTTTTTGACTCTTTTTTTCATTGTCTAGCTAAAAGTTTGTTAATTTTATTAAACTTTTCAACAAAACCAGTTCTTAGTTTTGTTGTTATTCCTATTACTTTTCTATTCTCTATTTTCTTTATTTCTGCTCTAATCTTAGCTTTGGTTGTAGTTGATTCTTATGGTTATGTTGTTTATTTTATCTTAATATAGTTATTATTGCTATAAAATTCCCTCTTAGTACCACTTTTTGTGCATCTCATAAGTTTTGGTATGTTGTGTTTTGTTTTCACTTGTCTCAATATATTTTCTAATATCCCTTTAATATCTTCTTTGGCTAATTGGTTGTTCAAGAGTGTGCTGTTTAATTTCCACATGTTTGTAATTTTCCAATTTTCTTTTGCTAATTGATTTCTGTTCTCATTACATTGTGATCTAAACAAATACTTAATTTTATGTCAATCTTTTTTTTTAATTTGTTAAGACTTGTTTTATGACCTAATATGTAATCTATCCTCACGAATGGTCAGTGTGCACTAAGAATGTATATTCTGTTGGTGCTGTGTGGAATGTTGTGTAGATGCCTGTTAAGTCCATTTGGTCTGCAATGTTATTCATGTCTTCTGTTTTTTTATCAATCTTATGTATGGATGTTCCATCCTTTATTGAAAGTAGGGTATTGAAATCTACTGTTATAGTGATATTATTTCTCCTTTAAGGTCTTTGTATATTGGCTCGGCGCCTATAGCTCACCCGGCTAAGGCGCCAGCCATGTACACCTAAGGTGGCGGGTTCGAATCCCCAGCCCGGACCCGCCAAACAATGACGGCTGCAACCAAAAAATAGCCAGGCGTTGTGGCGGGCGCCTGTGGTCCCAGCTACTTGGGAGGCGGAGGCAGGAGACTCGCTTGAGCCCAGGAGTTGGAGGTTGCTGTGAGCTGTAATGCCATGGCACTCTACCCAGGGGGACAGCTTGAGGCTCTGTCTCAAAAAAAAAAAAAAAAGGTCTTTGTATATTTAGGTGCTCTGATGTCAGGTCATATATTTATAATTGTTATATCTTTCTGGTGAATTAACCATAATGTCCTCCTTTGTTCCTTGTAACTGTTTTTTTGTTTTGTTTTGTTTTGTTTTACTTAAGGTCTATTTTGTCTGATATAAGCATGGCTACCCCTGCTCCCTTTTAGTTACCATTTGCATGGAATATCTATTTCCATCTTTTCACTTTCAGTTTATATGTGTTCTTAAATCTAAAGTGAGTCTCTTTTAGATAATACATAGTTGGGTCTTGACTATTTTATCCAGTTAGCCACTCTATGTCTTTTGGAGAGCTCAGTCTATTTATCTTTAAGGTAATTATTGATAGCAAAGGACTTACTACTGGCATTTGTTAATTGTTTTCTGTCTGTCTTATACCTCTTTTTTATCTCTCCTTCCCTCTTAGCTGTCTTCCTTCTAGGGTTCATTATAATTTTGTAGTGACGTGCTTTGATTTCTCCCCCATTTTCCTCTGTGTATCTTCTATAGGTATTTTCCTTGTAGCTACCTACCACGGGGCATACATAAAACATCTTATAGTTATAACAATCTGTTTTAAACTGATGACAACTTAAATTAATTCACATATAAGAGCTCTTTTACATTCTCTTGAATTTTTGTAGCATCCCATTCCTAATAAATAGAATATTTTCTCTTTCTTCTCTGAGAATATTAGTTATGGTTTACTAAAGGTTTTTTTGCCCTCCATAGTCTTCATTTTGTCTCATTTGCTTTCTTTTTGTTTCTCCTGTTCTTGGACTTTTGTACTATAGGCTCTCCTCAGGTGCATGACAGTCCATGCTCAACTTTGTTGTGTAATGACTAAAAAGCTGATTGGAGGCTCTAAGTACATGAGTGGCCCTTGTTGATTTTGAATTTCACTGTAAGGTGGTGTGTCTGGGGCATTTATTGGAGGAATTCCCAATCCCATAAGCATTTTTACATCTTTCCTTGGAGCTATCAGTGTCCTGAAAGAAAACTATTCCCGAACTCTCTTGGGAGGATAAGAACATGCTAGGAGCCAAGTGATAAAAAAGGTTGGGGAGGACCTCAGCATTTAGTGTGTATTCTTTCTCTTAGTCTCCTTGTATATAGAAATAGTATTCCCATCACAACAAGTATTCATTTATCTTCAACTATGTATAGCATTTTCTATCTTTTGACAGTGAGCCTCCAGTATTCTACCAGGATTGGTGAGTTGCCTTTACCCAGAAGCATATTGTGAAGGAAGGTACTTAAAAATCAAATTAGGTTTTTAAATAACCTTCAGCCTACCTACCTTATTTTAACCCCATCCCTTATTTCCAGATATCTGAAGCTTTAATGTCCTAAACTATTTGAGGATTCTTAAATGGAAAATGGGTAGGTTCTTGGCTTTTCCCACTGATAGTTTAAGATTTAGCTTTTTTAAATTTTCTTCTGTGAGCTGAGTTGGTTCTTACTCATCCAGTTATTTTCCAGCTTCCAGAGGATTATTGCTATTGCCTCCTTTCCTTTTTTTTTTTTTTTTTTTTTTGGTCAGTTCCCATAGTATTAGGATGTTCTCTAGATGGAGTGAAATTAAATCAGTGTGTCCAATCTACCATTTTGGTCTGAAATAAACTAATTCTAACCATAATGAAAGAGTTGCCTTTCCTTTCTTATTTGATATTTCTGTTGCTCCTTACTTTGTTTTAGGTGTTATACTTGAAGAACCTTAGCCCTCGGGTGACTGAAAGAGATCTTGTCTCATTGTTCGCTCGGTTCCAGGAGAAGAAAGGACCTCCAATTCAATTCCAGATGATGACTGGACGAATGAGGGGGCAGGCTTTCATCACCTTCCCCAGTAAGTAACTTCATGTAGATAATTACTCAATTGCAGCCTTAATTCACTAGAGAATACCCATAACCTCTCTAATTTAGATATAGTGTTTTGATTTTCCCACAGCACATGAGAAGAAAAGAAGTAAGGAAAAATATGTTTTCAGTGTTACTCTATCTCCCTTTCTGTTCTTTTTCTCACCCATTGACAGTACATCACCACCTGACCACAGTGTCCTCAATTTTCCTCAATCTTGGTACTTCCTTCTTATACTACCAAAATCTTACCTTTTGTTGATGATAGGATTTCTAGTTTAAGTTATAATTAGATTACTCATTAATTAATATATTAGTATTCTGATTGAAACACACATACTTGCCTTATGCCCTATCCCTTTAGGACTAAGTGAGTATAAGCCAATATACTAATTCATTACTAATTCATAGTTAGTACATTCTTCTAAATATTGTTTACATGTTAATGCATGGCTTCAGTGTTCTAAGCCAAAGAGAAGAAGAATATAGGAATTTCAGTTTCTATGATAGGCAAGATAATGTCTTTCCAGGAGAGAGGCTGGGTAGGATCTGTAACTCTCATTGTCCCTAAACTATTTTCATTTATAAATAGTCTACTATCAATTTGCAGGCTATTGATTTTACACATTAGTACTGTCAAACTCCCCTCCGTTGTTTTCATACAATCATGAATCTTCTTTCCTATCTGATTGAAGGTTTGGAAATCCTCTATACCAGTGGTTTTCAGTCTTTTCAAGTACTAGAATCCCTTTTAAATTTAAAAAAATTTTCATAGACTGCCTATATAATGTGACCCATTAATTGAAAAAATACATAGTAAAACTTCATAAACTAAGTACTTTTAAATGTGTAGCTATTTTACTAGTCAGAACAGCAGCTATACACTTTTGAAAATTTCTAGTACATACATACATACAAAACAAAAACTGGTTCAGTCTGAAGACATTGTCTACTTATGATTCCACACAATCCTTACCATAATCCACCTCCTAGTTTCCCACATCCAGGCACTGAGACCCATAAGTTAATACACCTGCTGTACGCTATGTATTCTCACACCTCAAGCTTCTCTCAACCCTTCTATAAGGGTTCTTAAGCTTATTTATCCTAATAAAGGCTTTTAGAACCACTCTCCCACTGAAAGAAAAAAGTAGCAAAGTGTCCATAATAAAATAACTTATTTCATTATCATGCAAAAATTTTGAAAATGATCTGGTTCTCATGATACCTATAATCTGTTATCTAAGATAGAAGTGCATGTATAATTAGTAACAGCTTAGACTTCTTTAGCATGATGCCTGTATCCTTGTTTCTTTACTTATGTCTTGGAATTAGGAGCCACCCTCAAATATCCATTTTGAATTTTTATTGTCATTATATTAGCATTAATTTAATCTTACTAAATTATACAAATTAGAGATTATAGAAATGATTATAAAATCAAATAACCTTATGGCCTTATAACTTAAGTTTAACTCCAAGGCAAAATAACCTAAACTAGACTTAGAATAGAATTTAATTATTAAGTTCTATGTAAATCAGTATACTTTCTTTCTCTTTTAGATACAGAGATGGCATGTCAAGCATTGCATCTAGTAAATGGATACAAACTACATGGGAAAATATTGGTGATAGAGTTTGGAAAGAGTAAAAAGCACCGGTCAGATCTCCAAGATGCTTCTTCCATACAATGTGCTACAGATAGCACTACAGAAATCAGTGGTAGCTAGAATATATATAGATTATGGGTCCTAGATTGTCTTTTTTGCATCAGAATCTTGAATCTAGGATTTATGTACAAATAGCAATTTATTTGAAGTCAAAGGGGAGAAACTACTGAAAAAGAAAAAATTGGTACAGTCCTTTTCAGCTTTTTGAGAGAATTGGTAGAAGACAGTTTCTATAATCAAAGACCATATAGGTCAGATAATACATCAAGAGTAAAGGGTAGCATATAAAAAGTATTATTTTCTCAGGATAAATTACAAAAAAGTTATTTCTGTGGATTTTTCAAAATCTTTGTAATTTTTCTGGGGTCTTTAATATTTGTCCCTAGGAATAACATACTTTCCAAGACTGTCTCCTATGCACAGAACATAAAACCTAAATGAATGTTGAAATATTTATTCACTAGAGCCCACTTGTCCCTGATTTTACCCACCAACTAAATAAAAAAAGCAGGAGCCCAGGCCTAAGTACCAACAAATGCTATTAAGTCAGATTTATCAGCAATAGTAGTAGGTAGGTTCATAAGTCAGTCAACATATTTAATGAATGCTTCCCCACTAAGTTATCAGAATCTTCCAAAAACTATATATTTTTTCTAATGAAATATTTTGGATCAAAATATTGATGTTCTCATGCCATTTAAGCTAGCTACTATTGAGTAGTCATTAAGTTCAAAGCAATAAACTTTGAATAAGTGTCTAATATATGTTAAATACTACACATATGAATTTTACAAGAGGAACATACTAACAAAGAATGTCAAAAATAAGTGTGAAGAAATAATTCTCTAGCAGAGAGGAAGCCAGTCCCAAATCTCTCACTTGTTTGTTTAGGTTGCTGGGGAATAAAAAAACAACATAGCATAGAGGAAAGGTATAAACTTTGGAGTCAGACCTGTATTTGAACCTCACAGCCACATATAAACACTCCATGACTTTGGCAAGTCACTTAATCTTAGCTTCAGTGTTCTCATCTATAAAATGAGAAGAATAATGCTACTTACCTCATTGGGTTGTGAGGATTAACTGAGATGATATTATTCAGGCTGAGGGACAGAAAGAAAAAATAATAAAATTGAACAGAGTATAGGACCTCTGAGATCATTAAGTACTCCAACAGTATGTATAATGGAAGTGCCAAAAACAGAAGACAAAGGAAAGGAGCATTAAAATGTTCCAAGAAATAATGGCTATAAATGCCAAATTTGATGAGAATCCTGTACATCTCAGAAGGTCAGCAAATCTCAGGTAATATAAACAAAAAGAAATCCATAAGCAGACATAAGAAAAATGCCAAAACCCAAAGACAAAGAGAAAATCTTAACAGCAATATGAGAAAATGAACCCTCTCTTACCAAGGAACCCCAATATGATTTACAGCTGACTTCACAAACAGTGATGGTGGCAATAAGAGAACATATTCAAAGTGTTCAAAGAAAATAACTATCAACCAAGAATCATATACAATAAAACCAATTTTTCAAAAATGAAGGGAGGGTGGCACCTGTGGCTCAAAGGAGTAGGGCGCCAGCCCCATATGCCAGAGGTGGCAGGTTCAAACCCAGCCTCAGCCAAAAACTGCAAAAAAAAAAAAAAAAAAAAAAAATGAAGGGGAAAGAAATCATTCTTACATATTTAAAAACCAAGAGAATTTGTTGCTGGCAGACCTGATTTACAAGAAATACTGAAATAAGTTATTCAGGCTGAAAACAAGTGACCTAAGGCAATAATTTGAATCTACACACATGCAAAAAAAGAACATAGGCAAAGGTAATTATCAAAGATAATCTATGCATTTCTCTTTCTTTCTTTTTTTTTTTTTTTGAGACAGTCTCACTATGTCACCCTCAGCAGAGTCCCATGGTGTCACAGCTGACAGCAACCTCAAACTCTTGGGCTTAAACAATTCTCTTGCCTCAGCCTCCCAACTAGCTCAGCGTACAGGTGCCTACCACAACACCTGGCTATTTTCGGTTGTTGTTGTGTAGTTGTTCTTGTTTAGCAGGCCTGGGCTGGGTTTGAACCCGCCAGCCCCGGTGTATGTGGCTGGCACCCTAATCACTGAGCCGCATTTCTCTTTCTTAATTTAAAAAAAGTTGCATAAAACAATATGTATATAGTCACATTGTTTGGCCTACAACATATAAAATGTAACATATTTGTCAGGACAAAGGAAGTGGATGGAAGCAAAGCTGTATTATACAAAAGAAGCGACTCTAGTTAACTCAGATCCATAGGAACAAATGAAGAGAATAAGAAAGGGGAAATATGGGCAGCACCTGTGGCTCAAAGGAGTAGGGCACCAGCCCCATATACCAGAGGTGGCAGGTTCAAACACAGCCCCGGCCAAAAACTGAAAAAAAAAGAAAGGGGAAATATATACTTGCTCTTCTTTCTTCTCTCAGCTTCTTTTAAGTACACAAAATTACATTAAATAATTAATAATGTATGTTGGGTTTATAACATACATAGAAATAATATGTATAATAATAGCACAAAAGAGGGAGAGGAGGAATGAGTTTACATAGGAATAAAATTTGTATATATCACTGGATTCAAGTTAGTATATATCTGAAGCCTATTCAGTTTAATTAAAGTGTATATGGTAAGTCCTAGAGCAACCAGTAAAGAAACAACTTTAAAAAATAAAAATATGATTAAAGAAATTTAAATGTCACATTAGAAAATACTCAGTGCACCAAAAAACAGAGGGAGGACTGGAGTAATAAACAAAAAAAATTGAGGCAAATAAAAAACAAACAGTAAAATAGCAGTCATAAATTTTCCCATATCAATAACAATAAAGGTGAATGGATTAAACAATTCAATCAGAAGGCAGAGAATGGCCAACTAGAAAAAAAAAACAGGATTTGAGTTTATGCTGTTTATTGGAGACAAACTTTAGTGTAGAAGACACAAAGATATTGAAGATAAAAGGATGGAAAACAAATAATATGATGCAGATAGCACCCATAAGAAAGCTTGAGTGGCTATTCTAATATCTGACAAAAAAAGTTTTTAAAGTTAAAAAAAGTAGAGATAAAGAATGACAGCTTATGATGATCAGAGTATCAATCTATAGGGAAACTATAACAGTTATAAACAGGTATGCAGGTTATAACAAAGCCCCCAAAATATATGAAGCAAACACAGATATCAAGGAAAGGAGAAATATACAAGTCAGTAAAAAGAGTTGGAATATTCAATACCCCATTTCTAATAATAGAACAAATAGACAGAAGATAATAAGCAAATAGAGGGCTCAAACTATACTATAAACCAAATTGGCCTGAAAGACATCTATAGAAAATCCTACCCAGTAATATCAAAATACTGTATATATTCTCAAGTGAATATGAAGCATCTTTAGGATAGACCATAAGCTAAACCATAAAATAAGCCTTGATAACACATGGAATGAAGTTATAAATCAATACCAGAAAGTTGAGAAATTCACAAATAAATGGAACTTAGATAAACTTTTAAATAACCAATAGGTCAAACAAAAAATCAAAGGGAATTAGAAAATCCTTTGATATGAATGAAAATTAAGACACAACATACCAGAACTTATGGGTTGCATCCAAAGCAGTGCTTAGAGGGAAATTCATAGATATAAATGCCTGTACTAGAAAAGAAGGATCATAACAATAACCTTACTTTACACCTTAAGAGCCTACAAAACAAGGACAAACAACACCTATAGCAAGCAGAAAGAAGGAAATAAAATGACTAAATGAGAAATAAATGAAATACAGAATAGAAAAAATATAGAGAAAAATCAGAGAACCCAAAAGTTTGTTCTGTAAAAAGATTAAGAAAAACTGACAAACCTTTTGCTAGATCAGAAAAACAGGAGATTCACATTACTTACACATAGAATCAGAATGAAGGAGAGAACATTACTACTTATCTTGTAGATAGAAAAAGGATTATGAAGGCATATTATAAACAATTGTATATCAGTAAATTAAATAACCTAGATGAAATGGACAAATTGCTAGAAAGACACTACCAAAACCAACTTGAAAAGAAATAGAAAATTAGAATAGACCTGTAAGAAATAAATAGGTTAAGTTAGTAATTTTTAAAAATACAAAGAAAAAGCCAAGCTCAAATGGCTTCTTAGGTGAATTCTACTGAACCTTTATAGAAAGATTAGTACAAATTCTTCCCAAGCTCTTTCAAAAAGTAGAAGAGCAGTGAACACTACTGACATACTACAATATGAAGAACCTTTGCATATGCCCAGTGTGGCTGGACCTATGTCTGACACCTATAATCCAGTGCTCTGGGAGGGTGAGCCAGGAGGATTGCTTGAGGCTAGGAATTGGAGACCAGCCTGAGCAAGAGGAAGACCCATCTCTGCTAAAAACAGAAAAAGAAAAACTTAGTCAGGCATGGTGGCATACACCTGTAGTGCCAGCTACTAACCCAGGCAACAGAGTGAGACTCTGTCTCAAAAAAAGAAAAGAAAAGAAAAAATATGCTCAGTGAAAGAAGCCAATCACAAACAACTACCTATTATGATTCCATTTATATGAAGTGTCCAGAATTGGCAATATATATATGCATATATACACACACATAGAGAGAGACAGAAAATAGATCAGTGATTGCCTAGGGCTGGGGCAAAGGGTGGGGGGATTGGGAAGGGCTGAGGGTAATAGTCTAAGTGTATGGAGTTTTATTTAAAGGTTGATGAAAATCTTGTAACATGGTGATGATTTCACAACTCCAAACATACTAAAAACCATAAATGGTACACTTTAAATGATTGAAGTATGATATATGAATTTTATCTCAATAAAACTATCACAAAAGTAGAAAGTTAGATATAACTCAAATATCCACTAGTAGGAAAATGGGTAAATAACTTATGGCATGTCCACTTAGCAGAATACTATGCAGCCATTAAAATAGTAGAGTATATCTATGACTACATTATGACTTGTACTCAATGTCGAAGATTTTATATTAAGTTTTAAAAAGATGCAGAAATATGTATAGTATGAATACATTTTCAATCAAAAACATTCATATATGTGTGATATATGTATTTGTAGGTATTTCTAAATAAATTTAGGAAAATGCATACCAAATTGTAGACCCTTTAGTAGTGAGTTTAAGTATGCTGCACGGGGACTTTTCACTTTGTACAATTTTTAAAGTACTGTGATTGGGGGTGATTTTTACTTTTTTCAGTATTTTTTAAATTAAAATTTTTAAAAGCACTGTACCAATGGCATAGTTTCCAGAATATATGTCAGTTCTACTCTGGGGATATCATCTGACTATACTCAGGACAAACTCTTGTTCTTTTGATATACTATTCACTTAGGATTAACTCTTCAATTTTAAATATCGTTTAAGGGACAAGAAATACATAATCT